GGATGGATGCGAAGAGTGGGGGTCGTGCACAGGATGGGTGGGTGCTTAGCCCTGGCCCTCCCACCCCGAGCTGCAGCTCTGTCCCTCCTCCTCTTCCCTGAATCCTCCCCCCATCACCCCCACCCTCTACTGCCCTCTTTGACTTTGGGGCTGGTTCCTGGGGCCAATATCCCTGGAGGGGAAACGAACCCCAGGCTCCTCCCTTTCATGGGAATAGAACCACAGTGACCAGGAGCCCTGGAGCCGTGATGCCCTGTGGTTGCTATGGAGATGGGGCATGTTTCTCAGGTGGAGCCGTGACAGCATCTCTAGGAGGCAGCTCCGTACTTCTTGCCACCCTTGAGAAGGACACTCTGCCTCAGACACTCTTATGAGGGTTTCCCAGAAAAACCAGTCTCACAAGGGAGGAAACAGATCCACACTCCTTGCCCGGCCCCTGCCCACCCACACACCCAGGGGCCCAGGCCAACTGTGGCTGGAGGACAGGCCAGAACTAGTGCCCCCATGATATGGGTAAGCTGCCTGCCTTGGGTTCCCCAGGCCCCGCTGACACCACCTGCCCGTCTGAGCTCAGAAGCATCCCAAAGTGCCCGGGGAAGATTCGTGGTCCTTTTGGGTGTGGGGGTGGCTGTGGCCTAAGCAGCACATTCTTCAGCAAGCCTCTGCATGCCAGGCCAGGCCCTCGGGGTGCCCTGTCTGTAATCCTCACAGCTGTGTAAGGAGGAAATAAAAAAACCCAAGGCTCAGAAGGATTCAGTGCCTTGTCGGGGCCAGAATTTAAACCCAGGTCTGCCCATCTCTCACATGTGTGCCCTTTCCTGGACACCACCCTGCCAGGCCCCCTCAACCCACTCTCGGCCTCCAGCCCAGTGAACTCTCCAAAGCACAAAGCTGAGGCTCAGAGAGTCGCAGGAGGTGGCCCCCAGGCCCACCCAGCTGGAAACGCACGTGGGGATGCTCTGTGGCCCACGCCTGGAGCTGGGTGCCACATCGAGGGGGCCGTGTCCTTAGGCCTCTGTCTTGCTTTTCCCATGAGCCCACCCTTCTGCTTAGAAAGGGACCCCCAAAGAGACCGCACCTGACATGCTGTGCCCCGGTGTCCACCCCCCTGGCCCCTTGGCCTGATCAGAATCAAGGACAAGCCGTGGGTCTCCTGCTTTTTCCAGAGCTCCTCAGACGTGCACAGGTCCTGCTCAGGGAGTGGAATGACACGTTAAAAATCACTTTTCAGGTTTCCAAAGTCGTGATTCTTGCGGGTGGTCTCTGGGCTCCTATTTTGCTGAATTCTGGGAAGGGACTGCACTGGCTATGGTGGCTGCGGTGGCGTAGAGGTGACGCTGGGTGGGCAGGAGGAGGAAGAAGAAACCGGGGAGGTGGGAGGGTGTGGGGAGAATTCAGGACCAGCTCCAGGCTCCAGGGAGTGCAGCCCGTGTGGAGAAGGGCCAGCGCCCATGGGGCCAGGTCATCTGATGGTGGAAGAGGGTGTGGGTAGGAACAAGGAAGGGTGGAGGATGCATCACATTTACAGAGACCTCCGGGGCTGCACGGGGATGGAGCAGTGTTGCTTTTCCTCCCACGGATTTGTCACCCCTTTTCCCCTGGGTGACAGAGCAGGCCTTGTGTCCCTCATACACAACATCCAACCTGAGGTGGGACCCACGGGGTCTGGCCACAGATGACCTCAGACATCAGAGGCAGCCATCGGGCGTGGTGGGATTTGGCTCTCTGTTTTTAAAAAAGCAAAAAAGTCACCTCCCCACCCCCCGTCTGTCACTTCACCAGTCAGCCTCATTCCAAGGTGGAGGGTGTCCCGCACTTCTGTCTTCAAGAGCGCTTCTCTGCTCTGAGGCTGCTCAGGCCGAGTTTTGCCACATCCTAGCTGGGCAACCTTAGAGAAATGACTTTCCCTCTCTGAGCCTCAGTTTCCTCCTCTGTACAATAAGGGTAAAGTCATCATGGTGATCCAAAAAGATGATGCACGTGACAGACATAGCACAAGCCAGGACCACAGGAAGCAGCACCCCCCACCCCATCGTGGTGGAGAACTGAATGTCATCTCTACAAAGGTGCTGATTTCTGAGAGGCTAGGAATGATATCCGAGGGACATAAAAAGAAACAACACCAATTCTACACAAACTCTCAGAAGCATGGAAGGGCCAGCATCACCCTGATGACCAAAGGAGACACGGACAAATCAAGAAAAATACACAAAAGGCCCTCATGGCTATCGACACCAAAATCCTTAACAAAATCTTTATCCAACCTAACCAAGCAATGCCTAGAAGGGTAACGTGTCTTGACCACGTGGGGTTTCTCCCAGGTATGCAGGATTGACCTGCCATTTGAAATATATCATTGTAATTCACCATAAAAATGGGAGCAGCTGGGCCAGCCCGTGGCTCACTCGGGAGAGTGCGGTGCTAATAACACCAAGGCCACGGGTTCGGATCCCATATAGGGATGGCCGGTTCGCTCACTGGCTGAGCGTGGTGCTGACAACACCAAGTCAAGGGTTAAGATCCCCTTACCGGTCATCTTTAAAAAAAAAAAAAAAATGGGAGCAGCTGTTGGCTTTAACCACCACCGTGCGTCAGCCGTGCCCGCATGCACGTGTTCTGTGACAGGACGCTCGCAGCTGTCACCCAGCCTCCCACCGCCTCCACCTCCCACCCAGGCTCCCTCCAGGAGCCCGAAGGAGTCACAGTCCCCTCCACTCTCCCCGTCCTCTCAGGCTCTGCTCTGGCAGGCGCCCCAGAGGGGTCTGTCCAGGATGCCTGGGTGGCATCTCTTACCACAGCCCTTGGGTTTCTGGGGAGAGGGCTGTGGAGTTGATGTTCTGAAGAGACATCAGAGTCCAAGAGGGATCAAGTCCAAGGGGAGCCATGGCCTAAAGTCAGTGCCCTCACCAGCCTACAGATAACCGGCACCTCCTGGTTCCTTCCACACCACCAGGGCCACAAGGCCAGGAGCCCAGCAGCTGACATTAAGCATGGACCCCGTGCCAGCCTCCCAAGAGGAGGCACACTGAGTCACACGGTGATCCCATGGGACACTGGGGCTGGAGAGGGGACGTCAGCACTGCCAGAATGTGGCTCCAGGTGGCACACAGGCTGTCTTCCCGGGGCCTTTCCTCTAACCCTTTTTAGCCATTCTGGGGACTCCACCATCCCCTCCAAGCTTCAGAGGATTTGCTGAGAGCCCTCGCCTCTTCAGAAACCCTTCCTCATCCTAAAGACTCCAGAGGCCATCCATTCATCCCCTGCAGAGGCAGAACCCCTGGGGACCTGTCCCCCTGCTGGGGACGTGTGTCTTGGGCTGCAGAAGCCTGATGACCCCAGCCCAAACGTGGAGCTGGATTCACCATGGCTGACAGGTTCCAGAGGGCGGGGGCAGGAAGAGAAGGAAGACACCCTCACCCCTTCTGCTCAGCATCTTGGAAAGGTGCCACCCGTGAGCATCCGTGGGAATGTGCAGAAGGTATGTTAAAGACTCCAGAACCAGACACAGTTCAGGATTGGACTTTGGGGGTTTTAACTGGTGGTGCTTCAGCTGGATCTGGATCTCTGGAGCTCCTTTAGCGCAAAGACAGGGCACAGATCCCTGGCAGCCCCAGCAGGGCTGGGCACACAGGAGGCTCAACAGAGAAGCCAGAGGCCTTGGGAGCGTGGGCGGGGGTCCTGATCCTGTGTACAGGGGCATCGGCCCTGGGTGGACCACTGCCATCAGGGATGTAGAATCCCTGCAGCAGGAGGGCAGGCTGAGCCTGGGAAGGACACTGCACCCGGGAGACCCAGCTGTCTTCACCATCGCAGGCAGGCCCCTCTGCCGCAGCTCGCCCCTCCCACAGGAGTGCGGCCGTATCCCGGCCCTGTCCCAGTGAGCCGGCTGGGAGGGGAAGTGGTTTTCCTCCTCCAAAGGATCCTGTGTGTTGCGGATTGAATTGTGTCCCCAAAAAGATATGTTGAAGTCCTAACTCTCAATACCTATAAATGTGACCTCATTTGGAAATAGGGTCTTCATAGACGTGACTAAGACGTAAATTAATATGATCTTAAGATGAGGTCACACTGGAGCAGGGTGGGCCCTAAGCCAACACGACTGTTGTCTCTGTAAGAAGACACAGACAGCAGCAGGAAGAGACAGGGGCACGAGTGGAGCCATGCGGCATGGAGTGCCGAGGATCGAGGATCGGCCAGAGGCAGACAGACTGGTCCGCTCCTGCCGTGCTGCCTCCTGGTGGGCAATCCTGGGCACGTCGCCTGCTCTCACAGGGCTCAGTGTTCTCATCTTTAAAATGGGCACGTCGATGAGTCCACATCAGAGGCTTGTTTTTAGCTGCTGCTGAGCGCTCACATGCAGAGTGTTGGCTCAGGGGACGCAGAGCCTCCCGCCCACCCCTTCACCCCTGCCCCACTGTCTGAGCTTCCCGTGGATCTCGCCCCTCCCCTCTCTCTACTAAAGGCACTTTTCCCACCTTCCTGGCTCTTCCCTTCCCAGGACCCCTGCCCTGACACCCATGGCTGGCCTCAGGCGCCTTTCCCCTGAGCTCCCGCTGTCCTGCAGGTCTCTCATGGCAGCTCTCATCTAGCTTGGCTGTGTTTGCCTGGTCACTGGTCCGTTTCCAGGGGGACAGGGACAAAGTCAGCTGAGAGGGAAGGAGGGGCTCCAGGAAGGCTCGAGGCTAGAGAGAGGGTCTTTGGCCCATCAGCATTGCAGTGAGGACTTCTCAAATGGGTCACTGCTCAGGCCCTGGGCAGAGCAGCCCGTGCAGGGCCTGGGGGAGGATCACCAGACAGTGAGCTCAGGGAGAAGGTACCGACCAGCCTGGAAAAGTCCAGGAGCAGGCCAGCCTATGCCCATCGCCCTTGATCACCAGCACCATGGCCCTGCCCGGGGCCAAAAAAGCCAGCCTCCCCCACCACGTGTTAACAGAGGCTCCTGCCTGGGAATGCCAAAGTGTCCGACGATTGCATCACACAAGAAAAAACCACACAGCAGAGTCCGTCTGCACATCATCTGTAATGTCACATGACATGCACATCCACTAACGGTTGACTTGGAAACGACCTGTTAGGTCACATGGAGTCTGGCCCCTGGGGGCCAAAGCTGCACCGATGCCCAGGGCTGTGGCCAGCGCTTTCCTCAGGCTGTGGCATGGGCACCTGGTCTCCCAGGCTCAGGGCCAGGCACTGGGAGAGGCCAGCTCACACAGCGGGCCCTTCAGCTCCAGAGCAGCAGCTCCCAAAATGCACTTGAGGAAACGAGTTAATAGCTGTTCCTCGAGAAAAGGGTTCTGTGGTCCAATGAGTTTAGGAAACATGGGGTTAAATAAGGTACGGCAGGAAGCTTCTCTACAGGACTTGTCAGAGCTTTTATGGCAAGAACAGCCTTTGTGAATGGCCAACGTGGGGGCAGAGTGTGCAGCGCTTCCTAAATTTATTGGACCATAAAACCCCTTTTCCCCCAAAGCATCTTGTGGGCTGGTGCCTGCGGGGCACCTTTGGAAAGTGCTGCTCTAAGCTATTGCTGACCGTCAATGGCAATGGCACCCATGCTGGGCAGTGGGCTGAGGGCACTCTCCAGGCACCGTGCTGTGGCATGATGGGCGTGGCTGACTCAATAGTCATGACGATAAAAGGACCAGACAAGACGCGGCCCCCTCCTGCCATCTTGGTTCCCGCCTGTTATCTCCAGAGCAGAAGCTGAGCAGGGCTGTCCCCACGGTGGGCCCTGGGCCTCCTAGACAGGAGACGCAGAGTCCAAGCAATGGAGCAAGAGGCCTGGCACCACTGGACGTGCCAGTCGCCAAGGCAGGCCGGTCTGAGGTCACCAGCCTCCAACCAAGATGGGGAAGACAAGTGGGGGGTGGCCGGCGCCAACCCTGGGGCTGCCCGGTTCACCCCACCCCTGCAGACCCCGCTTCCTCCTGCCGCCTCTCTCTGGCCACCCTGGATGCGCAGCGGCCAGTTCACCAGGCAGAGATGAGCATCTGGCAGGTGTTGGAGGACATCCAGACCAGCTCCACCAGACGGAACTGGAAGTAGCCGATGATGAAGCCCGAGATGACGTCCGTAATGTGGTGGCGTCCAATCATCACGCGCGACAGGCCCACGCAGAAGGCCCAGAGCACCAGCAGGATACGCAGGGGCACCGCCAGCACCAGGTGGCTGAGGAAGAACTTGGACACCATGGCCGCACGGCTGGCATGTCCCGCCGGGAAGGCGTAGATGTCCATGGTGAGGTAGTCCAGGAGGCCGGGGCTCGTGTCGTACGGGCCGCGTCGCTTGATGAGCTTCTGCACACCGGCCACCGTCATGATGTCCAGGAGCAGGGCTGTGGGCAGGAGACAGAGGCCCCCAGGGCTGTCAGGGCCACCAACCAGGCCAAACTCCCGGCCCCAGCCCCTTCCAGCCCTGCCTGCCTCTCCCTTGCTGACAACTCAGCCACTGACCTCCAGGCATGTCCCCACCTCAGGGCCTCTAACCCTGTGGCTCCCTCTTCCTGGACGCCTTCCTCTCAATGTCCACGTCCTTCCGCAGAGAAGCCGTCCCGGGCCACCTGCTTGTCAGAGCCCCCATCATGCTCTGTTCCCCACACCCTGCCTTATTTCTCTTTACAATGTTTCTCACCACCTACATATCACACGGTTTCTTATTTATCTCTCTCTTAGACCCCCGCCCCCCACTATAACTGGCACACTCCATGTGGGCGAGGACCCGTTTTGCTCAAGGCTGGGAGACATTCAGCAAAGGTGCTGCTAAGGAGAGAGGGTGATCGGGGTGTCATAGGCAGCTGTGGGTCCCTGGGGGGTTTGGTCCTGACATGTGGGGCCTGGCCTGGGTGATTTTTCTCACTGAAGACCTCACCAGCCCCGACAGCACAGCATTATCATCCCCATTGTTCAAAAGTTGAAGTGAAATTCACATAACACAATTAATCATTTTAGAGTGTGCTATTCAGCGGCATTTACTACATTCACAATGTCCTGCAACCTCCACCCCATCTAGTTCCAAAACATTTCATTACCCCAAAAGGGGACCTGTCCCCCCCAGCGGTCACTCCCCACGCCCCTCTCTGCAGCCCCTGGAAACCACCAATCTGTTTCTGTCTCTTTGGATTTACCTATTCCGGACATTTCATATGAATGGAATCATATTCCGTGCGGCATGGGGATCCGAACCCTTGACCTTGTGGTTATAGCATCACGCTCTAACCAGTTGAGCTAACCAGCCAGCCCCAGTATAACACCTTCATCCACGCTGTAGCACGTGTCAGTATTTCGTCTCTCTCTACGGCTGGACAATGTTCCATTGTCTGGATCTACCACATTTGTTTACCTATTCATCTGTTGATGGACACTTAGGCTGTTTGCACTTCTTGGCTTGTGTGAATAACGCTGCTGTGAACGTTCGTGTAGCAGTATTTATTGAGTACATGTTTTCAGTCGTTTGGGGCATATGCCGAGGCACGGAATTGCTGGTTCATACAATAATTCTATGTAACTTTTGAGGAACCACCAGACTGTTTTCCACAGCAGCTGAACCACATCATCCCCACTTCACAGAAGACAAGACAAAGCCTTGGAGCTTGGAGCATTCATACCTGCTCCTTCTTTCTGGAATGTTCTGCCCTTTCCCAACCCATTCACTTGTTCTCTCTCATCCCTCAGGCTTCCCAGACAGGTCCGTCCCTGAACTGTGCGTTCCTAGTGCCCAGTGTCTCTCCTTCATGGCACTTGCCCAGCGGTCACTAAGGGATCACTGGGTGGCGAGAGGTTTAGCGTCTGCCCCACGGCCCCTCCCCCACACCTCATGGAGGCAGGGGCCATGCCTGCTTTGTTCCTAGATTATCCTGGGGAACAGATACAGGGTGGCAGTCTCCAAATGTTGAGTTACTGGCCTGAGGCTCACAGTTAGAGGAGTGGGCTCTTTCCCCATTTTGGAAGCCTGGGGGAGACCTGGGTCTCCATCATGTCTCTGCCACCACCCTGCTGTGTGGCCTTGGAGGGGCTGCTCTGCCTCTCTGTGTCACTAGATGAAGGCAGCATGACAGGGCCCCAATTTGACCAGCTGATCACAGTGGCACCCAGACAGCCAATGCAGGGGCTCCAAGTCGACCCTCTCCACCCTTAGAAAGGCCTCAGAGTTCACACCCTCTGACCTGGGGCAGGGGTGGCATCTGCAGGCCAGGCAGCACCCCCAGGGAAGGCGCAAAGTCACCAGAGCCTGCACCTCTGCCCCAGGCTTCCCCAGCTTCAGGTGACCTCTTGACTCCAGTGATGTGGTGAGGTGGCAAAGCTCACACGTGTGACAGAGACCCGGGTTTGAGTCCCAGCCCTGGAACCTCCTGGCTGTGTGACCTTGGACAAGTCACCTCACTTTCCTCACCTGTGAGATGGAGGGGGCCAGGCACAGTGCCTGCAGGGCAACCAACCTCCCAGGGTTGTCTGGGACAGAGGGATTTCCCAGGACACAAGATACTCAGTGCTATGGCAGGAAGTCCCAGCAAACTGGATCAGGTCAGTCCCCCCACATGCCAGGCATGCTGGAAGAGTTGGGTAAGGGTGAAGGATTATCACTAACTGACAGTTCAATGCAGCCCGCTGTGGGGAGCTTTCCTAGGACACCTTGCCGCATGTATCAGAGTGGTTGGCTCTTGACAACTGCTCTTTCTCAGAAATGAAAAAAAAATCTTTAAAAAAAGACACAATAGATGATGTTCACTGTCGACAACTTACAAAACAGAAAACAAAAGTTAGAGTTTAAGTTACCTGTAACCCTGCCACTCAGAGGTAGCCACTGTTCCAGGCCTTTCTATCCTACAGAGCCTCCACTGTTCTGTAACCTGCTTTTGGAAGTCCTGCCATGTCTTATGCCCCCCGACTCCCACAGCTGCACAGTAGGAGGCTGTGGTGTTTTTCACCGTTCCAGAGCTGGAGGTCCAGACTGCTCCCAAATAACACCGTGTCCCCTGGGTAGCACAAAACGCCCCCAGCCTTCTGCTTTTCCTGCCCACTGCAGGGTTGCTGCTTACAGTCTGGTCTCTCCCGGGCCCATCCCTCCCATTAGCCACAGGGCTAGCTGATGGCCTCATGCCCAGGGACATGCCTGGCCAGCCAGGGAGAGGGCAGAGGCAGGAAGCAGGTGGACAGGAGGCTGCCCCGCCTGAGAGAGGAGGGGTCTGCAGGGGCGGAGGAACCTTGTTCTACACTTGCCTGACAATTCCAGGCAACTTGTTCCCTAGGGTTGGGCCTCCCAGGAAGTGACCTGGGAGAGAACCAGGTGCTGCTGGCCCAGGCCCAGGCTTGGCATCATCTGGAGCCTGGGGGAGGTCACAGTTCCAGCAGGAGAGAGGGACAGGGACTGCCAGATCTCCAGGGCAGCTGGGAGCTGGAGGGAGGCAGCTGGGCCCCTCTCTAACCAGCAAGACCCCCAAAATGACCTGGGTGATAGGCTCTCTCCAGCTGGAGTGACAGTAGCATGACATGGAGTGGGCGTTAAACTCGCAGGCTCCAGAGTCGCAAGTGGGGTTTCAGTCCTGGCTGCTCCACTAATTAAGAATGAGTTCCTTCACCTCTCACAGCCTTGGTCCCACCTGCCACAGGGGTTGTCACAAGACGAAATGAGCTAGTCAGTGGTGTAAGCATTTGGCACAGCCTGGAATGTGGCCTCGATAGCACACTGCTGCCTTTGCTTCCCTCCTAAATCCTGGCCTGGCCCAGGTAAGCAATGGAAGCCTTCCAGGCCCTGGGGGCTGGGTGGCATCAAGCAGATGCTTCGGTGACAGGGTTTTCTTCTCTGAGGTCCCACCAGGGTTAAAATTATCTGGCTTGTTATGAGACCTCAGCTGAGGATAAGTCAGACCATCTGGGACCAGGCCCAGGCCTCCCTGCTGCTGGTGAGCAGTGGCCTGCCAGGGTCTGTGTGCCAGAAGGGCTGCCAGAGTCTGCAGGGGTTAATGTGGACTAGAACTGGGCCCCAAGGTAGGTCACAATATGACACTGGCCACTGGAAGGCATGGGCCATCTGTCCTACTGGTGACTGGGTTTCTCAGCTGAAAACCAGGGCTCAGCAACTGACTGGTTTGAAATCCGTCTTCCCAGTGCGGTGCCCCATGCAAAGCTGCTGGGTTCAAGGAAGAAGAGGGGATGGAGAGGCTTCACTAGGCTCAGGGGGTGCACCGGGCTCAGGGCCCGGCTCCAATGGGGCTGAAGGTAAAGAGTGCTGTGGCACCCTCCTCCCCACGCACCCAGCTCTCCGTGTGGGCTGTCAGGACCTGTAGGCCAAGAACTGAGCTAGACCCAAATCTTTCAGATTCTTAGCAGCAAAACATTTTTTTCCCAGTGGAAGCATAAAGACCCAGTATATGAAACAGATGTGGCTGAAGTTGCAGAGCTGGGGGTGGGGCACCTGGAGCTCAGATCGAGGGACCCTCCCCTGCCCCCAAGGGGGAGGCCTCTGAGATTGCCTGTGTCCCATGATCTGAGGACCCCACACCAGGGCCTTTGGGAAACTGCAACCATGTCTGACTGGTTCCACCTCTTGAGGACATAACAAGGTGGAGACCCTGCCCCTTTCCACCCTGTACGCCTTGGGGGCCATCAGGCCCCACCTGGCTGTCCAGCTGACCCAGCCCCTCCTGTGCCTGGATCATTCATTCACTTGACCGCCAGCTCTCGGGCGTGGCTGACTGCTGGGTATGCCAGGCCCGGGCGAGTGCACCAAGAAGTTGGGGTCCCACACAGCCAAGGGGGAGATGGGCGGTGTGAAAAGAGCTGTACAGAGAGTTACCTATTGCAGGTGTGAGGGGCCACAGCTCCCCTACTACGCTGCAGCCATCTGGTTTTGAGGGTGGTGTGTAGAAGGGGGGGCTGTGGTGCTCAACTAAGGGAGGGCCCTCCAACAGGGCCAAAGGGCTCCCCTGGCCCCCCAGCCCCCTCCCTCAGAGGCTACTGCCCTGCCCCTGCCCACTGCCCCTGCAGGGCCTCTCTTCCCCTTCTCCAGCGGCCAGCCCTGGTGTGACTGTGATTCTGACACCATCAGCACATAATCTGGTGCCCAGAAATAGAAGCAAATGGCACCATCACTCAAGGCTCCATGAATTCTGCTCACAAGGCCCTGTCGCCTGTGCTGACCTACATTCTCTCCTCGATGCCGAGGGGGGCAGGGGGCCCTCATGTGGGGAAAGGTCGGGAGAGCTGGTAGAAGCTGCACTGCCTCGGACTTGCTGTGTGTCCTGGGAAGGTCACTTAACCGCCCTGGGCCTCCACTCTCTGTGGTCACTGAGGGCGGTGGCTATTCACTCAGGCTCTAGAATCAGAGACCAGCTTCAAG